TATTATTTTACGTTACGATTACAACTACAGATGAAATTGCCGAATTCTAATACAAATAACAGAACTACAGTAAAATCTCTCTATACCGKCCAATGTTGGACCGACCAAAATGACCGGATTACCGGGGTTTCCAGTATACTGAGGTTCGAACTTTGGGAATACAGCAAATGTCTGGTTTTCAGAGGTTTTAGGTCCATTGAGGGTCCAGTTTAGAGGGGTTTTACTGCATAATTCTAAGATAAATTTGTTGTAAATCATTTCCATGAAATTTCCATCATTTTGGACACTTACATCATGTTTACATCAAATTTACAGCCTTTAAAGGCCGCAATTTTTTCCAGTGATATAAATACGAAAAATGAAATTGTTATTTATAAATGCTCTCCTTATGAATTAGTATGATAAAAAAACAATGTGAAATGAMATGTCATCAATCATCCTTAAACTAGAGATTATATTTACACATGCAAATTGAAGAAAATGCTGTTTTGGTATTTTCATGGCTTAGAGCCCATGAGTGTCAATTTTTGATAGTCCCGWCATTTTCGTCTGAAATAATAATGAGTCAATGGTATTTACCTAGCTTTTCTTTAAAATGTGAGCTCTCTAAATGGAAAAGTTTTTGCGATATAGATTCTTTAAGGGACACTGTCAATGACACGCATGCGCGAGTAAACTTGAAAAGATTAGGCTAATGTTTTCAAGTTTACGACTCCAAGTTGGCGCGACGAATATTCCAAAGTGTGTCAAGACATTAATTTACCTCGAARGTAATACTTTCAAAGTCCGCTAGAGGCAAGACTGTTACTGCGCATGTATAGTTTGTTGAATATAATCTAAAGATATTGTGCTTTRATCATATTCATACCATTTCCTACCCTTGTCCTGACCCTACCATACCAAATAATAGCTACTTTGCTTGTATAGTCTGATGAATATAGTTTAAAAGATACTGTGCTTTGATCATGTTCATGCCATAACCGTAGTGAGTGCCATCGTAACTATGAACACCTTTAGTCATCGGAAAAACATCAAAAACTTCTACCCCTTTCTGTTTTAGCTTATCACGCATTACTCGATTATACTGGGAAATTTTGTCATTGTTTTGCCCCATCTTTCTAAACGATGGTGGCTTGAGAAATCCTTGCGCATGCGTGGTAGTCCAGAGTA